GGCCTGGATCAGGTGCACCTTCGTCTCCAGAGACACACCGTTGCTCTTGAGTACTTTAGAGAGGTCTCTAATAGCAGACTCTCCCATCGCAATACATTTTTTGATTTCCTGGCTGCTGGTGCCAAGAGTGTTGACCGTGGAGCCGAGCAAACTGAAGCTGTGAACAATCTCAATCTCTTCGCCATCCACTTGATAGACAGGCTAAAATCCGCAATTCTAAAACCTCAAAGGCCATGGAGTCCAGAAGTAGATCTGATTCCAAAAATCTAATCTAAATTAAAGGAAAACTATTGATCATCTGTCTCCCATGTTGTCTGAGTGTTCCTCTGCTCAGGTGTAAGATTGTAAAGCATTGGCTCATAAGGGTCTCAGCCAGTTTATCTGTAACGTGTGACAACCTACTGGCTTCACGTTGATTAGTGACCCCGTAGGAAAGAGTAAAATTGTCGCCTAGGGTTCCAAGGCTGTAGCTCCTTATGGAAGCCGACTGTCCCAACTTTCCCCTGAGAAGCAGCTGGCAGGTTCTAGCCACTGGAACCTGCCAGCCATTCATTATCCAATGCTTAATTTCCAGTGCCACCGAGGCTGCTGTGTGGTATATAAACTGTATTCTTTTTCTAAAAGGTTTAAAAAAAAAATCTGAATTCTGAGCAATAACTCACCCCGAAGAGAAGGTTTGTGGATTTAGAATAATGAGCATCATTGACAAGACTTCATCCAATATCTCCTGTATGCAAAACAGACACTTTCATGTAAACTAAGCCCTTCTAGATTGGTAGACTTTTTATCCTACAAACTTTTAGTTAACTGCACACCAGGCCCTGTGCTAAATGGCTTCTTTTATGAATTCATTTAATCTCACCTTACACACGGCAGAGCCTGTTATTATCCTATTTTATGTAAGAGGAGACTGAGACCCAGAGAGAGATTTAATAGCAGTGATGACTAACCTTTATTAAGCATTTAGTCAGTATTCTTCTCAAGGTTCCAAGGTGCCTCAGACTGTTGGTGTTTGGCACCTAACGTCAAGGTTGGTGGTTTGAGATCACCAGTGGTGCTGCGTAGGAAAGGCCTGGCACGCTGCTTCCACCGTGATTAAAAACAAGAAAGCCCTAGAGGGCGGACTGTCACCGACACGGGAGGAAGCCAGGAGTTGGAATCAAACAGGTTCGGGTTTTGCAAGTTTTCTTCTAAATACTATAAAATATCTTGTCTCACGAATGGAAAACATCCCGTCCCCATTTTACAGATAGAGAAATCGAGACCCAGAGAAGTCAGATCCCCCTACCCACAACCACCCAGTAGGACAAGGCAGATGTGAAGACTTGACTTTGCGGTGATGCGTGTTCACATTGATAAGGAATTTTTTCACACTGATGGCGAGGTTTTTATTATGGTCGTCTGCACAATGTGTAGCCTTCTTTCAACAGACAGAGAAGGACAGTGGTTGTAAACCCCTGCCTCACATGAAAATACAAAACACCTATGCTTAATATGGATTGAGGCTCAATGTCAAGAAGACAAAGATTCTCACCACTGGACCAATTGGAAGCATCAGTATGGATGGCGAAGAGATTGAGATTGTTCACA